GTGTGAATGCGCCAATAGTTGACCGTGGTGGGAGCACCATCCGAGTAATCACAGCGCATTCTGCATACAAAGACAACCAAAGCGCAATTTGAGACACAGCATAGGTTGCACCGTTAGAGGTAGTATTCCAGCAGTACAGGCGGTCAGCTATCTGAATGAATGGTTTGCTCTGTCTCAGGACTATGTTGGTGACCTGGCAGCGGAGATCCGGGCGGAGGAAGAGGAGGAGTGGGTTCTGGAGTGTCTGGGGACTCTGGCTAATCTCACCATCCCTGACCTGGACTGGGAGCTGGTGCTGAAGGAGTACAACCTGGTCCCCTACCTTAAAGACCGCCTCAAACCAGGTTTCATTACCGCTGATACAGCCACACATTAGTAAAGATGTGTTTCTATTGATATATACAGTAATGCACATGAATGTAGCATATGCAGTAAGCAGAAAAGACTCAAACTAATGGGAGGAATTTATCATTTTTGCCTGCCGCATATTTATGTTATTGCAAGTTATTGTTTTATTGGTGTTTACTTGAAGTTTATTAACAGAATATTCAGTCAAATTCAGTACCTCAGACATATTGTTTTCACTACTATTAACTACATTTTATGGATCCTTGCAATAAAAGTCTTATTATAATTCTTATTAGCAGTTTGAAAGCGTATATAATCCAACACATCAGTATTACATCATTATTATTATTATTATTATTATTATTATTATTATAGTATTTAAAACTTCAAAATCCAGAGTCCATTTCTACTAAAACAGCTGGGATAACCAGTGTTCACTAAAGTGTCATCTTGTTTGTGTCTGTGTGTGTTAAGCCTCAGCAGAGGATGACCTCATCCTGGAGGTGGTGATAATGATCGGAACAGTTTCCATGGACGACGCCTGTGCCGCCATGTTGGCAAAATCTGGCATTATCCCTGCGCTGATCGAGCTGCTCAATGGTAACACACACAGCTGTGGGTTTTAACCAATGTTGTGTTTTAGATCCGGTCAGTCCACTCAGACCTTTACACGTTTCACTGAGATCTTTAAAGACCATCACTTTTCTGTTGTCTGAATTTAAATACCTCATGACATTAATGTCAAAGAACAGGCTGCTCATTGCTCACTATATTTTAAAAGTAAAACAAATAATTCAAATGCTAATCTTACTGGCATGTGAAAAGAGACGTTACACCTGATGACATTAGCACTTTGCTAACCTGCTTTCCATATGCTCTTGTGTTTTTGAATGCAGCCCAGCAGGAGGATGATGAATTTGTGTGTCAGATTGTATACGTCTTCTATCAGATGGTGTTTCACCAAGCTACCCGTGATGTCATCATCAAAGACACCCGTATCCTTCCCACAGTGCACTCTGTTCAGCCTACATGTAAAGATGAATCAGGAGACTCTTGTGTTGTGTTCAGGGCTCCTGAAGTTAAAGGGAGAACGGTTCACACTGTGAAATCTCAACACACAAGAAACTCTTTCCTTAACCTTCTCTGTAGAGGCTCCAGCCTACCTGATCGACCTGATGCACGACAAGAACGCTGAGATCAGGAAAGTGTGTGACAACACCCTGGATATCATCGCTGTAAGTCAAACACACACAGCAACAAATGGAAAAAGACGTTTCTTTAAATTTGTGTGTAGGTTGTAATTTATTTAACCTTTTCTATGTCCTCCAGGAGTACGATGAGGAGTGGGGCAGAAAAATTCAGTCAGAGAAGTTCCGTTTCCATAACAACCAGTGGTTGGAGATGGTCGAGAGTCGCCAAGCTGACGAGTCTGAACCGTATCTGAACGATAACGACAACGACAGGACGGATCTGTTCTATAGCGCAGGTGTACACACACACACACACACACACACACACACACACACACACACACACACACACACACACACACACACACACACACACACACACACACACACACACACACACAACACGGACTTGCAACAAGTGAAGGCTGGTCATTTTGTCTTCTTGGTTTTTTTCAGTTTACCAAGACAACTTCATATTGTGCCACTCACAGATGATTGCAAAATGTTCAATACATTTGTTTTTGAGCATACAGTAGTAAAGGGGAGAAATTATTATGATTAATGATTATTTTTCAACCAGAAAAAAAGCCACTGAATAGATTTATGAAAAATAAATGGATTGTTACTGATGCAAATCTCCTGCTAACTTTACCGGCATTCTGCCTGAGGGCTCCCTCAACTGAAGGTGATGGTTTTTTTGGGGAATATTGCAGAATAAGACAAATCTGTGGAAAGCACACCTTTACGATAATGACATGTTTAGTTCTCTACATATGAACTGAACTTTAATCATTTTAGAGGCGTTACTCCAGAAGTAAAAACCTAACGCTAGGCTATAAAGGAAATAGATCACTGACTTCATCAGCACAGACAGCAGCTGACTCACTCGAGCAGCAGCATGAGTAGCATACAGGAATCACATTTGAATGAATTCTCCAACACTTGTGTTTGCTCAGACATACTTTCTCATGAGACCGCTGAGTAGAAGCTGCAGTGAGTAGTGTCAAGAGCCTGTGAAGAAACGTTTTGTTTCGGAAAGTAATGTGCCTGTGTGTGTCTTCAGATGGAATAACTCCAGCAGACGGTTCAGTCAGCCCAGACTTCTTCAATGACCTACAGCCTCAAAATGGAGACATGCACCATACAGGGTGAGTGAACACACACACACACACACACACACACACACACACACACACACACCCACCCACCCATGCAAACAGTAGGTTACTTTATCTAGTGTGTGTGTGTGTGTGTGTGTGTGTGTGTTCACTCACCCTGTATGGTGCNCACACACACACACACACACACACTCCTCTTTTAGTCATTCCCCGTGTTTTAACATAGATCTTTTTATGGAATCCTTCTCCAGTAAGGGAAGGTTTTCTGATCTGAGGTTCGTCATGAATTATTGATCACTGCTGAGTAAGACCCTGTCTCTAAGTGCTGCCCCATCTGTGTGTGTGTGTGTGTGTGTGTGTGTGTGTGTGTGTGTGTGTGTGTGTGTGTGTGTGTGTGTGTGTCTATGAGTACTGATAGAAGGGTTGTTCATCGGGTCTGAAGCCGTACGCAGTAGCTGGACGACCAGGAGAGGAGCTGGTCCAGCTCCTCTCCTGGTCGTCCAGCTACTGCGTACGGCTTCAGACCCGATGAACAACCCTTCTATCAGTACTCATAGACACACACACACACACACACANTGACCCAACAAGCCTGGGGGGGCGGGGTCGGTCTGGCAGTATCTGGTGTGAGGGTTAGGGTTAGGGTAATGTTGTGAATCGAGTGGCCTGTGTTCATCGTCCATAACATACGCCTGCCCCTACCATAACCCCACCACCACGGGCCACTCGATTCACAACATTACCCTAATCCTAACCCTTACACCAGATACTGACTGGTTTTCGGACCCCCCCAGACCCCCCCAATAAAGCAAAAATGCACGTTTCAGAGTGGCCTTTTATTGTGGCCAGCCTAAGGCACACCTGTGCAATAATCATGCTGTCTAATCAGCATATTGATATGCCACACCTGTGAGGTGGGATGGATTATCTCGGCAAAGGAGAAGTGCTCACTATCACAGATTTTTTCAGATTTGTGAACAATATTTGAGAGAAATGGTTATTTTGTGTATGTAGAAAATGTTTTAGATCTTTGAGTTCATCTCATGAAAAATGGGAGCAAAAACAAAAGTGTTGCATTTATATTTTTGTTCAGTGTATAATACACCCGACACACACTGATGGAAAGAAACAAAGTACATCTACAGTAATGTACTTAAGTTTAATATTTTTCTGTTGCTACTTAATACGTCTACTAAAGTATATTATAGAAGCCAATAATGTAGGTGGCTGTATTATTTGACCTCTAACAGCTCCTCTCCTCTCCTCAGCCGTGCAGGAAGCAGCCGGTAAGAGGAGCCGGCTGTTGTTGGACACTTCAGATCTAACCATCAGTCAGTACAGTCTGCTGGGGCCAACCCCACCTCGATCCGCACCAGGCAGCCCGGCCACAGCCACCCGAGACCCCCCCTCAGCCGCACCCAGTGCAGGGAGGGAGGGTGGGGAGACGGTCCCAGCAGAGGTTCCCCCGAAGAGTGACCCGGATCATTCCTCTGGACCTGAGTCCACTGGGGAGGCCCGGGGAGGAAACCAGCCTGACCCTGACGCACCTTCAGAGACAGCAGGGTCCGCCCCCACCACACCTGATGTAGCCTTCAGACAGGAAGTTGGATCTGCTGCAACTGCAGGTCCCGGTGAGCCCATCCCAGAGTGTCCTGATCCCCCAATGTCCACTCTGTCCACAGATGTTATAGCTGAATGTGCTCAATCTGCAGCATCTGGAAATCCTCCTCCACCTGACCTCTCAACTGTTGATGGAGAAACAGAAGACCCGCCCACACAGGAAGTTGTTGCATCTGATGCAGCTGCAGATTCCTGGGACCCCACCCCAGACTGTCCAGACCCCCCAATGTCCACTCTGTCCTCAGATGGTCCAGCTGCTCAAAGGGATCAATCTGCAGCGCCTGAAAGTTCTCCTCTTCCTGACCTCTCAACCTCAGGTGGAGAAACAGAAGACCCCCTCTCCCAGGAAGTTGGGTCACCTGATGTACCTGCAGATCCCAGTGACCCCACCCTAGACGGTCCCGACCCCCCAATGTCCACTCTGTCCTCGCTGCAGTCCACAGATGTTCCAGCTGATCAATCTGCAGCGCCTGAAAGTTCTCTTCCACCTGACCTCTCAACCTCAGGTGGAGAAACAGAAGGCCCCCCCGCCCAGGATCCCCACCCTCCATCTGCACCTTGTTTACATTGTCCAATGAAAATCAGCCTTGGGTCACTGAGGGAGGCGATTAGTTGCAGCTCTATCCCACAGACGCTCTCTCACTCCGACAGAGCTGTGTACCTGATCGGAGGAATGAAAGACAGCTGGGAGGAGGAGAGGGTGAGAGAGGGAGGAGAGGAGAGGGGGAGAGAGGGAGGAGAGGAGAGGACCCAGGACAGGAAAGAAGAGAGTGAGGCAGGAGGTGGGGAAGAAGAGGAGAAGGAGGAGGGAAGAGCTGAAGGTGAAGCCAAATCAGGAGGTGAGTCTGTGGATGAAGGTGAGAAATCCTCTGAGCCAGCAGAGGGCACCACAGAGCAGGCAGACAGGGGGGGGGGATGGTGAAGAGAGAGAGATGGAGGAAAGGAAAGAAGATCAGGAGGGAGAAGAGGAGGAAGGAGAGCAAGCAAGAAAAGAAGGAGAGAAAGAAAACGAGGACGAGGAGGTTCTTCAAAGCCCTCAGCCAATGGGAGCACAGTGTGAGAGTGTTGCCGAGCTGCCATTGGACAGCGTGGCAATCATCAGAGACCTTGTTACTGAGATCACTGAGGTGGAGACGGTCATCAGCCCCCGTCCCAACAGCGGCCATACAGCCTGACACCGTAACCATGACGACTGACTGTTGGAGCTCCCTTATTAAATGGTACAGAGGTTAATAAAGTGAATAAGTGCACAAAGGAGATTATTACCCATATTATTAGTGTTACATACACATTTATACTACATTTGTAAGAAGACACATACTTCCACATACTTCAGTAAACTTTTTTAATAATGATTCAACTTATTTAGACTATTTTGCTGTTTACATTTGTGTTGTTCTGCTATCATTGAACGGATTACTCAATAAAGATATCAAACTTGGTTTTGAAGCTGCTCTTACTGATTAGTTTGCTGTTTTGCTGACACGGACCTATTATGTACAACATAATGTACACAAGCTGGCCATTCTTTTGCAGGGGGGGGGGTTTATATCGCAGTAATGAACTCGGCTACTTGATGTTTGATTCAAAAACTGATTTAGAACAAATGGATTTCAGTGTTCCTGCTTGTTGTGTTTAGAGATCACAACTGTGTCCATAGTAACAGTCTGTTAATCATAGCAGTGACCTACAATAAATCGACCAATCAGAATGAACTATCCTACACAGTAAAAAGGCATCACAGTAACGTTATAGAGAAATGTTTTGACGAACAGTTTGGTTGGTGTCAGTCAGAACAAAGGGTTAAGCAAGGGAAGAAGAAGGTTATCTGGTACACATTGATGATAATAATAACAATATGTTAGCTTTGTAGAGCATATTTCAGGGTACACAGTATTGCTTTATTAAACACAAACAATTGAGGCTAAGTATTTACAAGAAAGTAAGAAGAAAGAAACAGTTTGAGAAGGTAATAATTGCAACTGCAGGAAGGGTCAAAAGGGCAATATTTGTTGCTTTGTTATTTAAGGTTTAATTTAGTTTTGTCAAAGATAAAATATTGTGAAAACATTTTATTTTTTTCATCCCATTTTCAATAATGTCCGTGTGTGTCCATGCCAAAGGCTGATTTAATAAATATACACCAACAGCGTCAATAAACCAAACCATTTGTATTAAAAGCCATCAGCCAGACATCAAATATATCTATGCAAAAGGAACTGTGCAGGAAATCATTCTGAAACATTTGAAACAGTCATATGAAATGTGGGACTTGTTTTTATGAGCATGACAGAAAATAAGATGGAGAGTTTCTATAGTCCAACAGTAGTCCATGTTTACAGTGTTGTTAGGTAGCAATAAGATCAATTATAAAAACACTATTATATACAAATACTAATAACTTAATAAAAAGAAAATATAACCATGCATCAACAATAAACTATATGTGCAAATATGCCTCTAAAGTATCAGTCTGCACTCCTCTCAGATGTGGGTCAGTCAATGGCACTATACAGTGTGTTCTTCAAAGTGTATGCTGCTCTGATCTACATTCAGATATGCTCTGTTCTTTAGTAAGTGCCATGCTCAAGGGAACTACATGTACATTTCCAGTCACAGTTCATGGTGCATTTATAACTTTGACTTTTGTCAAATAGAGTCAGTATGGAACATTCAACAGAATGGTTCAACTTGCATACTACTATATGTATGTTGTATTAAGCATAGAGATGATTTTAATGTGGCACCTTCTAGGTGAGCTAGATCTGGGCCTCTGAGGATTGTGGACATGATTTTTGATTTAGCAATGGGAAAACAAGGCTCCTCTCATGCTATCCAATAGACTTACAGGCACAATGAGTTGGATGTTTCCTTAATGGATAGTGTAATACATGCTTTTTTTTCTTAAAGCTTTGTTAGGGACCTTTTAAGGTGTTAGCTTCTATAAAAGCGTAGCGACCAGGAGCCAGATCATAGGCAGGCATCCCAGAGGAAGCTACATGTGCTGGGGCCCTAAAGCTTGCAGAGGAGGGGCCTATTTCAATGTTTTGTGCAACCGACATATCCTACCCATTGTGCCTTTAAAGCCAGTTATTTAATGGGCTTGTTTTCTCTCCTCCTATACTAACTACGAGTAACACAGAGAAACAGAGAGCCCTGTACTGTGTGCCAGCTTCTAAATGTGCTGGCAGAGACTGAAGGACCCGTCACTTCCTGCAGGTAAACATCCCCATTGTTGTTTAAGGGGACTAGACAGGATAAGGGGCTTATGGTAGCAGGTCAATGACATTAGTTTTTATCATGTAGTGACATATTGTTTATCCACTTCATCTGAAGTGACAGGGTTTCTACTTTTCTGGTTGCTAAATACATGTAATACTGTTATGGTTTAACATCGCTAACTTATACAGCACATTGGGGGAAATTGAGAATAATGGCAGGGAGATTAAACTATGACAGAGGGGGATGAAGATAAGTTTGGTTTGCCTGTGAAAAAGCACCCTAAGCTATAGGGATCAGCAATGTTCCCATTTTACAGTGAGAAATCAAAGCAATGTGTACATTGTAGTGCATGTTAATAACACAGTGATAGATAGTAGGTCTAACGGGATCTAAAACTGTTCAGAAATGGAGTTTAACCTTTGACTGTTTTTTTAGGGGATTTGCAGAGGCAAAACATATCATTATTACATGAGAAAACATGCAAAAATATATCAAGACATTTAAAACATTTGAAAGGATAGTTACATATTTTTCAACCTGGACTAGTTCCAACATGTTGTCACACACTTATAGCAACTATCAGAGACGGAACGTCCTAATAGGATTACAGGGTCCAGGTTGAAATATACTGAAGTTTCCCTCCAAGTGTTCACATTCTTTAAATGATTTGCTGAGCCACTGGGAAAACACTAGAAGAAAGCTGTACTCAGTAAGGAAGACGTAGCTACCTGTATGTTTCACAATGCTGAGTGAATGAAATGCAGTATGGAAGGAGACTGCATCATCTGCACGATGACCAGTGTTTCAGTGGCTATCCCCACGTGATGCCTTCAGTACTGAGGGATTCTAGCAGTGAAATGCAATCTAAAGATGTGAGAGTGGACATGCAGGGGGTGTATGGGGATGACAGGACGTCCTCTGTCTGTCTGTCTGTCTGTCTGTCTGTCTGTCTGCCTGTTCGTCTATCTCTCTGTGTCTGTCTGTCTGTCTGTGCGTGTGTCTGTTCGTCTCTGTCTACCTGTCTGTCTGTCTGTCCGTCCGTCTGTCTGTCTGTCTGTCTGTCTGCCTGTCTGTCTGCCTGTTCGTCTATCTCTCTGTCTACCTGTCTGTCTGTGCGTGTGTCTGTAAGTCTGTGCGTGTGTCTGTTCGTCTCTGTCTGTCTGCCTGTTCGTCTATCTCTCTGTCTCTGTGTCTACCTGTCTGTCTGTGCGTGTGTCTGTTCGTCTCTGTCTGTCTGTCTGTGTGTGTGTGTGTGTGTGTGTGTGTGTGTGTGTGTGTGTGTGTGTGTGTGTGC